TTCTATATTTCTTTAATATCCTTCAATAATTGTTCTATTAATTCCCAATTGAAATTAAACTAGTCGATCGCCTAATGATATCATTATTATAATACCTAATTAATCCTCATAATTTCACTACTTGACTTTTAGATTCGGCGAGTAATCAAATCTTATTAATATTTAAGCTCCTTCTGTTGAATTTCTAAGTCGTTTTTCATAATTTTGGACTACTATTATAGTGAGAGAAACTTATTCAAATACTCCTATTAAAATACAATTTCTAATGGTTCTGTATATAGTATTTAAGGTCTTAAATCATTCAATGTTTGAGTAATGCTAGGTCTCATAACGATTTAATAAAACTAATTCATAGAGTGAGGGTTTGAAATTTACACTTAATTACAAGCATTTTGAACAGTTTTATTGTGAATACTAAAATATTTTTGAAGATGAGACTATACCATATTATTTGTAACCATTTTTTAGACTTATTGTTGATCGCAGAATAATTCATAATAAAGATCTAGAAAAATAATTTTTTTTTAGACTTCTTAATCTTGATTAAAATTATATAATATCCTTCAAGAGTGATTTTAATTTAAAGTTTTATTTAATTCCATTAGCAAATATAAGAATATAATATATATTTGGAATCCTTCCTTTATATTATATTGCTAAGATAGCGAAGAGATTTCATCAATATTATCATTGATGATCGCAAAAAAATACATATAATAATTATTGCTCATTATTGCTTTAAAGAAAAAATATCGATAATTAACTCTAAATAAAATCAATTATTATTCATTTTCAAAAGAATCCCTCACGTCATGTTAAAATTAAGTCCTCTAATGATATACTAGAAATAACAATTGCTATTCAGATGATAATACTATATGATATAACTTTTGGAGCAACATAGTTAGCCTCTGCTATCCTTTCTACCTTTATTAGAGACCAATAAAATAATTAACAGAGAAGAATAGCCAAATAGAAAAATTTTGGTTGTTTTTATGGTAGAAAAAATTCCAGACTAGTATGCGAAAATTAATTCTATTTATTAGAAATTCTAAGACGGTTTTGATTAAATTATAATGACTTTACATCATTATGAGACACCTAAAGAAATTCCTGACAAAATTTCGAATTAGAATTATGCAATTAGATCTGTCTTAGCTGATTTGAATAAAACACACCACTATCTACCAAAAAAAATACTGTTTAATTAATTTGATGTTGATACTATCTTTGACAAAACTTTCTGATATCTTAAAGAGAAAGACAGAAACAACTTTGTTTGGCAACAAGTACTATTTTAAAACTAAAGATTTAATAAACTTAGTTTTGTTATTTTTAATTACAGGATTAGCAAGAAATATGGTATAAATTTGAGCCTTAATTCATTTAAACATAAATATTATGAATGCCTATAAAGTTTCCTTATAATTATATATAGAGGAGGATTTTTATCTTCCAACTAATTCTTATACTTTTTTGGGTAATATATAATACTTTTGTATAAAATTTATTTTTTTTATAATTCAGCTGTTCATTTTATTAGATTGAATTTTTTTAGGTTATAGGCGAATCTTAATTAAATATATTTTAGATTGAGAACTTAGAACTAATATTGGCCCAAATTTATATTCTCTAAGTTTTTGTAGATATACTTTATAAAGGAGATTAATTATAATATCACATAAATTTGTATTCTAATCTAAAGTCTTTTTATTCGATAAGTCTCTTAAAATGTCTTTATTTTAGTATTTTATAAGAATAAATGCGAAATACCAAACTTTTTTTTTTTTTTTATAATCATTAACTCTAAAATGGCTATTCATTGGATATGATGCTTAATTATTCAAAACAATTTTCATTGTATGTAGATATTTCTTTATCTATTATTTTGCTACTCTATTTTTTAGTTGTTTTCTTTTATTCCGTTTAGTTTTGCTGTAAGAGTAGTATTTAATTATTGTTATTTTGGTCGTTTAATACTTATTTTTAAATGACCTATTATATTTTAAATAATATTCTAATATGAAAAAACAATTTCTGAAATGGTTAAAATCTTTTAGCTGTTTTTAGATTTAATTAAAATGAATTCCCTTTATATCAATAATCATTTGCAACTAAAAGTTTATTCAATTAGTGCAAATCAACAAAGTGAATTTAATTAAAAATATCATTATTCTGGAATAGGTAATTTATGTATTGTTACCTCAGAATTGGAATATCTGTATCTTTGATTTAGTTTGGTCAATAATTTTCGTTTAAATCAAATTCTAATAATAGATATTAGAATGATATCAATTAAATTGTTATTATTCTAAACTTATTGACTGTTTTTACATTCTATATAAAAAGATAGCTGGAAATAGAAATCATGCTAAATATATCGAATTTAACATCCCATTAATCTCTCCCTTTGAATAAATAATAAGAATAGACTATTTTTTGCGAATAAGATATATTTTAAAATTAAAGAAATTGGTATAATTTAATATTATCAATTGAATTTACTTGTGATCTTTTTTTCTGCATATTACATTCTTAAGTCAAAAATTTATTTTTTTACCTAATCAATCATTTCAACTTCTATTGCTTCTAACAATTTATTTGTCAGTGTTTTATTTGATGTTTAATTTATTTTAGAAAAAAAATTTAAGCTACTTTCCTTATCTTATTGGGTAATATCTTTCATCCTCTTGTTAAAATTTTATTTCATTAAGAAATTCTTAAATTCTTGTTAAAATTTTGGAGAGAATGAAATCCCATCATCATAGATCATCCCTTTATTTTTCATGTTGCCAATAAGTTCCTTCACAAATTACTAATTTTTTAAATTAACTCTTTTAAAAATCAAAGAAACTATTGGAGAATTTTTTTAATCAACTTACTTAGGGTAAAACATAAAGCCATTCTTATTGTCTTTGGTGACATTAACCAATCGAAAATCTAACTGCTACAATTAAAAGATCTAGTGCTATAAACTTAGCATACTTTTAGCAGAATTATATAGTCAAAAGTAGTAAAAAGCAAAACAGACTGCCTACTAATTAACGCGAATTTAGTAGCTAAATGCACGTTCTAATAAAATTCTCCCTCAGATCATCTATTAATAACTTCCAAAATAGAGATCCAATAGTCACACCTCACTCCTAGACGATACTAATTCTATCCTATAAAACTCAATATTCTTTCTCTTAATATTCAATACTGCAAATCTAAGTCCTTTGCTGATTTTTATAATAATTTGAATAGAACTCACACCATATCAAATGTTTTAATAGAATAAGAGAAAAACTGATGCAATTAAAGCACTATGAAGAATCATCAATTGATAACACACTGAAGGAAATAGAAAAAAATCTTAGAAGTAATTATAGCAAGGAAGCCTTTCGCATCATTGATAGGCTCGTAATCATGAAATCAGCAAAAAGAGATGGAGGTTTAATGAAATGTTTTCTTGGTGGAAATGACCTGGTCACTGATAATGAATAAATTCTTTCAAATTGCCTAAATTAACTTGCCATTTTCTAAACAATAAAAAAATATTCACCAAAATAACTACCAAAATTGCAACAAATCACCCTAGAAGATTTCAAATTTATGAAAGAAAAAATGTCACAAAACAAAGGACTAACCTTTGATCTAATTTCTGATACTTGGATTAAATAACATAGTACATACAATTAGATGTCTGATTTGTGGTAGCAATCAACAGCGGATCTAATCTCAACAAAGCCTTTCCAAACATTCCTGAAAAAGATCAATTTAGACCAATCATAGTGTAAAGTCCTATAATGAAATGGCTGGAACTGAGGTTCTTTAAGAAACTCTAATAATACTGTGAAAAAAAGATTATAAAAGAATAATTCGGTTTTGTACAAAGAGCTGGAACACAACCACAGATATTAAAACTGATTATAAAAATATAATAATTCAAGAAAAAAGATAATAGAGTCGTTATTTTTATAGACTTCCGTTCAGCTTATAACTGTGCATAAATAGATGTGTTATTTAATTTTCTCAAAGAAATGGGAGTACTAGATGAAGATGAATTAAATTTCCTAAAAAGCCTTATGAGTTGGCAGTATATCAAAAATAAAATAAAAAGATAGCTTTTTTAAATGGAATACCATAAGGAAGTATTTTATCTCCATTTCTTTTTGATATATACTCACACATCTTAATAAAAAAAATTGAACAAATATATAATTTCAGCAGAATTAACCACTACTATTTATATGCAGATGATTTAGCCTTTATATGCAAGGAGAAGTATCTTGATTCCACACTATAATGTCTTAATTAAGCTTCTTAGAATCTAAATCTCCAAATAAATACAAAAAAATATGCCATAATAAGAATAACTAGAAGATTATTGAAATTAGAACTATAAGAATAAAAAAATTTACTTGGTATTCCTTTTCAAAGAAATTATAAGTACCTTGGAGTAGATATTAATGGAAGGGAGAATATTAATAATCATGTCAATGCTACCAAATCAAAAAGAAATATTTAGAATTCGATTTTATTCACTTAAACAAAAGAAATATAAAATATAATTAATGCTATTTGGAAGTAAAATATGAAGAGGTTTCTATAATTGGCCTAATGTACAGATGATTGTTTTCTTTAACTAATTTAAGGATCATGTTTGGACATGGCAATTGAAAAATAATGGGAAACATCAATAAAGTGTTAATTCAGATACGGAGAGGAAGAACAAATTATGGATATTAAAAAAAAAAACAAAGAAACCTACGGATTTATGAATTTACCAAATAATCTTAAATATCTGTTTCTATTGAATTTAAGCAAATGCAAAATTCATATCAATAGAAGATGTGGAC